TTTACTTCATTGAATATAGATGCTCAGCCTTTTTTTCCATCTCAAATATTTTTACCAGTTTTGGAAAATGATGAGAGCTACCATACGCATATAGATAAGATTCAACTGCACGGTGATGTTGAATCAGGTAACTGTTTCTTCGTCGTTGATCTCTTTTCTTAGAACCTGAAACACTTGAAGAAAGTACTGACATAAAGGAGCTTATAAAAGTAATTGATTGCTGTTTATATTTTTTTATAAAGCCGGTGATTCCACTAGAGAATCGAAAGGATTCTATTAATTTAGTATTCATTGGGCATGTTGATGCTGGTAAATCCACAATTGGCGGTCATTTACTATACCTTACTGGTACTGGTTATTTTTTTCGAATTAATTAGGCATGATTGATAAACGCACTTTGGAGAAGTATGAGCGAGAAGCTAAAGAAAAAAACAGAGAATCATGGTATCTCTCATGGGCTCTCGATACTAACATAGAAGAACGTGAAAAAGGAAAAACCGTTGAATGTGGCAGGGGTTTTTTTGAGACAGAAAAAAAACATTTCAACCTTATAGATGCCCCAGGCCACAAATCATTTGTCCCTAATATGATATCTGGTGCCGCAACCGCGGATCTTGCAATCCTAGTTATATCTGCCCGTCGAGGAGAATTCGAGACTGGATTTGAAAAAGGTGGTCAAACTCGTGAGCATGCTATGCTTGTGAAGACAGCGGGTGTAAAGCATATGATAGTATTAATAAATAAGATGGATGATCCTACGGTTGAATGGGACGAATTAAGATACCTCGAATGCAAGGACAAGTTTATTCCATACCTCAGAAAAATTGGATTTAACCTAAAGTCGGATGTATATTTTATGCCATGTTCAGGCTTCACTGGCGCTTTTCTACGTGATATACCTCCTGAATCTCTTTGTCCTTGGTTCAGGGGACCAAGCCTCCTGGATTACTTAGACCAATTGCCAAGCCTTGACAGGAAAGTAGATGGACCTCTGCGACTTCCTATATCTGAGAAGTTCAAAGACATGGGTGTTTTTGTAATGGGGAAGATTGAGTCTGGCCGTGTTATCCGTGGACAAACTGCATGCTTGCTACCAAATAAAGTAGCAGTTGAAGTCCTACAGGTATTTCTTCCATAGCTGTTACTTGTAACATAATGTAGCTAACACAATTTAAATTGTTTTCAACTTAGGTTCTAAATGATGATTTAGAAGTCGACTTTGCGGCAGCCGGTGAGACATGCAAACTTCGGCTAAAAAATGTTGAAGAAGAAGACATCTCGGCTGGATTTGTATTGTGTTCGCCTGATGATTTGTGTCATGTATGTTATATAAAGATAATTTAAAGTCAATTTTATGTTTGAATCTTTTAATTGCCATTTTTCAATCAAGGTTTCCTTTGCTTCGGTGTCTATCAAAGCAATTAAACAACTAGATCTTTTTCAAAGAAAATTCCTTAATCTGTCTTATTTATCTAACCAGCGTGTTGTAAAAATATTTTTCAGTAGAATACTGCCATCCTTGATTATCATAGTGAAATGAAGCCCAGCTATTTCCCCAAATAAATTAGGACTAATCTATGGGGGCCCTGGTCTTCATCTCCATCGTGAAGTTATATTATTTATATTCCCTGTCATTCTCTTAATGCTTCTTTCTACTTTTAGGTCACCAATGTTTTCGATGCTCAGATAGTCATTATTGATTATAAGTCTATAATATGCGCTGGTTTTACCGCTATGCTTCATATACATTGCTGTTCCGAAGAAGTCAGGTTGCGCGCTCTTATATGTAAAATTGACAAGCGAACAAATCAGAAGTCTGATATTCGACCAAGGTTTATAAAACAGGATGATGCAGCTATTGCAAGATTTGAAGTATGCGATTACGTTGAAAAATTAGTACTCTTATAATTTGCACAGTTTAATTACCTTCTTTAATTGCATTTTACAGATTTTAAATGGTTCCATTTGCATGGAAACCTTCAAGGACTTTCCACAAATGGGAAGGTTCACCCTGCGTGACGAAGGAAAGACCGTTGCAGTTGGAAAAGTCATGAAAGTCCTTCTCACCAACAATTGATTTCTTATTTCTTTGTTTGATAGGCCATTGTATTTTATGAAGAACCAATAGATTTTTTTGGAATACTATTTTTGTTTACTTGATTATAATATTGATTTGTTGAATTCTTTATCAGATAATTCAGATTTGGGATTACCTTCATATATAGCCATTCCCTAGTACGAATGAACGGTTTCGTCTAGCGCCGGCCAGTTCGTTTATTGTTTATATCCTCTATGCCATGCGGAGACATGACATCTAGTATCATCTGGATTCTTGTTAATCTAATGAATGTTGCACAATTTCCTGCTTATAGTATTTTCCACTCCCAAGATTTTTCATTTGACAAAAAATTGAAGACTGGCCTGAACATACTGATGCATGCGCACCTCGCTTCCCCTCCTAACTGATCGTAAAACAAGTCTTCGGAGGTTGCATGTTTGAAGTCGGTACTTGACACGCTATTTATTT